CAGAGTGTTTGAAAGCAGGAAGACCAGCCCAGAAAGGCCAAAATGGAGGGTCATGGGAGGTCTCACTGGTGTCCTTCCCTGCAGAGGGGAGTAGCTGCGTTCCCAGGAGTCTGTGGTGCCTCAGGCATGTCCAAAGAAGCCACCTCTAAGCAACAGAGCCACCTCACCCCACAGCAGAGACTCTCAGTTAAACCTCAGTCCTGTTTCCTGAGAAGACCCTCCGGCCAGCCAAGGAGGACCACAGTCCACCCAACTCCTCTCCTTCACGGGATGTGTGCATGAGCCCAGGGCGCGTCCAGGAGCCTGGCACCCTGCACCCCCTACCAAGGGGAAGCCACATTGCTGGAGATGCCACTCTTAAAACAGCACAGATCTCCACACCCTCTTCATGGGCTGAATACATTTGCCTACCAAACTTTGCCCCAGAAATACTGTTCCCGGCACCAGTTCCCTACCTACCAGTCACCAAGAGGTAATTAAAACGTCTCAAAATCTTATAGGATCCAACAGGCAATGATCTCCTCAGGGAGAAGCTACCTTTGGGGCCTAATCTTTCTAAGGGAACTCAGTCACTGAGCTTGCCTAAGAAGATTAGCAGGCTGAGGAAGGAGGGAAGCCACCCCGCCCCAGAAAAGGGAGCGGCTGTCCTTCAGGGCGGAGCAGCTGTCCGTCAGGGTGGGCGCAGACCTCCCAAGTGCCTGCTCGTGTCACTGAGAATATGCAGGATCTTGACAGGGCACTAGCTCAAGTGTGTCATTTCTAGGTCCCCCACTCTCTTTCTTCCCTGCCAGGCTGATAGCTGCAACTTGGCCTTCCTTGCCCAGGGTCACACGGGGTCAGCAGAAGGGAACCAACCCCATTATGACCATGTGCCCTGGCTGACATGTATCAGCCCACTGAATCCTCACAGGTGCCCTGGGAGAGTGGGCATTCTGAGCCTTGGCTGAGCAGGGAGGAAAGGCAGGCTCCGAGAGGCTAAGAAACAGGCCAGAGGTCACCCAGCCACTACAGGTAAAGTGCGAATTGTAGCCCAGGTGCCAGATCACAGCACTTTCACACACAGTGGAAAATGCTCCAGACCTCATCATTGGGAAGCTGGAGGATGACATTCTGGAGAGAGAGGGCAGCTGGGCCTGTCCTCCCAGTGACAAGGACCAACCAGTGAGCCAAATGGAGCTGGTATGCGGTTCTCCGTCTTCACCCCTGAGCGCCCGGGCTGCTGCCTCAGCTCCAGGTCAGGGCACCTCAGGCTTCCCCGTGTCCCCCAAGCTCCTGGACACCTTGCTGAGATGTGGATTCTAACCCCACACGTCTGAAGCAAGCCCAAGAATCTGCATTTCTCACAGGTTCCTGGGTGACGCCCACGCCATTCATCCCTGGGCGTCATCTTCAGGGTGTCAGATGGTGGTCACGAGGCCTAGGCTTCAGGGGGACTGTCTCCCCGACCCTTAACTTAGGTGACCATTCTCTCCTGGGACTCACCCGGGCCTGCTAGCTACCACCACATGGGGGTTTTCTGAGACGGTGCAATGAAAATGGTGACTACAGCAGGGTAGAGGCAGAAGATGGATTTCTAGGTTCAGTTTTCAACTTGGCATTTGTCCTTTTCTTCCTTATCCACCTCTTGGCAAAATGTCTAAACCAATTTATCTCAAAGGAGCTGGGCTGGGGCAGCACACTCTGAAAGCGTCCACTATGTAGAGTCCTGAATGGGAGGGGCTGCCACGCTTCCTTCCCGTAAGGAGCTAATGCTGCTGGGTGGGGAAGCCACTGCAAGGGGGAGTTTGGGAAGGAGGGCTCCTCTGCTCAGAACTCTCCCGCAGCCCCGTCTCAGAGGAAAGCCACAGCCTTACCCACGGCCTACAAGACCCTGCCACTGTCTGCCCTTGAAGTCCCCTCCCTAGGACACACTTTTTGCCTCCTTAGGTGTCATCTCGGATGCTGCCTTCTTGGGGAGGCCTTCCACGGCCACTTTATTTAAACTAGTAGTTCCTGCATCCCGCACTCCCAGCGCATCCCCAAAGCACCTGTACCCCTTCCCCTTTTTTCTCTTCTGATAGCACTGACCACCATCTGACACCCTGTAAACTTTACCTAATGATTATATTGATTATCTGTCTCCCGGCCCCTTCCCTACTAGGATGTGAGTTTCAAAAGGACTGAGATTTTTGCCATTTTTGTCTGTTTTGTTCACTGGTGTATTTCCAGTGCCTGAAACAGTGGCTAGTACAGAGCAGGGACTCGCTCTGAAGGAAGGAAGGAAGGAAGGAAGGAAGGAAGGAAGGAAGGAAGGAAGGGGAAGGAGTGGCTGGCTCTGAGAGATAGTAGCTACCGTAATCCTCATAACAACCCCTGCAAGGCAAGTCATTTTAATCCCATTCTAAAATGAGAAAAATGAGGCTGACAGTGGTTAAGTGATTTGGACAATGTCATCAAGTCAAGAAGAGGCCAAGGTCACAAGAATCAGTCCCCTGGCTGGCTGGTTCCAAACATTGTACTCTTTTTTCTTTCTTTTCCTTTTTCTTTTCTTTTTTTTTTTTTTTTTTTTTTTTGCTGTGGTTGTTTTCAAGGTAACTGTCTTAGTATGACAAACATGGCATTCAGTTGCTTTCCTTATTCTAAGCAGCAGATGCTTTAACTTCAGGATTTTGCAAAATCTGCCCAGAACTTGTGCTCATGCACCTGAGAATCTATGGGGGAGCTGGTGCCCCGAAAGCCAGGAAGAGTCTCTCTGCCAGCCCGAAAGTGGGAAGGCCTCCAGTCAAAGGAAGGAAAGACCCCTCCTGCAAGCAACGCCTGCACACCAAAGGAGAGCCACAGTCATTCTGGTTTGGCTTCATCGTTTTATTTTCCTACACTCGCTCTCTCTGATCTTTTCAAGTCTGGGTAACTTTTTGCCATCCATGGCTACCGCTCACCATGTGAGTCTCTGCCACAGAAATCTATCTCCCATGAGTTTCCCCAAACTGAACTTGCACACAGACCCATGGACCGCAGTGCCCCTGCAAACCCCACTCCTGAGGCCCACTCATGACTGCATCCTAGGCTATCGGGAGCAGCCCCTGGGAAGACAGCCAAGCCTTTCAGGGTCCATGAAGGTGAGGAGGAAAGGCCCAGGCCACCAAAAACCCATCTACCCTCTCATTCCAGGGACCACCATAGCTTGAGTCCCCTGTCATCTGTGTGTCATTCTCAATCACATTAACTCATCTGTTTTGTTTCAATCACTTCTCACTATCTGAAGCTGTGCTGTTTATTTATGTCCATGTTTGCTTATCATCTACCTTCTTCTGAGACCAGGGTGAGGGCATGAGGGCAGGGGCTTGGTCAGTGCTGTTCACCACTGTTCTGTGACTAGCACAGGTGGGCATGCAAATATTAGGTGAATGAATATGCAAAGACAGCAGGAAACATGTGGATTCAGAAGAAAAAAGACCAGGAGGCTCACAAGGAAACCCATTTAATCCTAACATCAACCTGCACAGACGCATCATTCTGCCTACACAGCTGGGAAGCCACAAAGTAGACCCAAGACTGTGCAACCCCAAGAGGAAAAGAAAATGCTGCAGGTAAGCGGAGAAGCAGGTGAGCCCTACTCAGAGGGCAAGGGGAAGCTGCCTCTGGGGCCCAGGACTGAATGCCATCTCCCAAGTGGCATAACTGAGAAGAGTCCACATTTTCCACCAAATGGAGCCCAGATAAGGTCTGTGCTATCTCCATGCCCTTGATGCCACCACCATGGCACCTGCGTTCACCCAGAAGATACCTGCCCACAGCACACGTCCATCACTGAGAGTGCACAAAACCTAGTTCTAATTTCCAGGCACTAATGCCACAGGACACAAACATAAAGCACCCTCCAGGAGGACACGTGACATCCCTCTCCTTTCTGAGCAGTCTGAAGTGAGAAGGTTGAAAACAGTGCAGATGTCCTTCCTTAGAGCAGTGCCGCCATCCATTCATTCACTCTTTCATTCATTTGTTCAGCCAACATGTGCTCACTGGGCCTGGGGAAGCCCAGGATGAAATGAGCCCTCTGCCCTCTGGCCACTGCGCTGGTGCCTGTGCTTTGGGCGGGTACTAAAAGACAAGCAAATATTAAAGATACTCGCTTCCAAAACAAATAAGGCCACGTGGAGCTTGCACTGGAATGGGATTCTGGATGCAATTTTTATCTGATTGGGTACAAGAACCAACTCAGTGAAAGAGGTCATGGACCAACTCCAGGCAGGAGGCTCCTACTCAGAGGCCGCCTCAGACCCCCTTCTGGCCCAGGCACCAACCCCTGACCCACCCAACTCCATCTCTCAACCTTCTTCACCCACATTCCCACCTAGCTCCACAATCTTCTCCCTCCAGGTTCCCCTGGATTTCTCCTCTGTTCCCAACCCTGACCTCTCCAGGTCGGCAGCCTTGATACTACTCTGAACGCCGGGACACACATCCCAACGTGCCTTCCACCACCACACCACACTCCCCGAGTCTGCGCTTCCACCCAGAGCCCCTTAAACATCATATGTTTACAAACCGGATTTCCCATACTGTGTTCATTCAACACCCCATACTCCAGACCCCCATAAACACATCCTGATTCCCTGAGCAAACCCTACACACACTGACTTCACCCATGTCCTGAGAGCCGCCCCTGACCCTCATCACCTCTAACTTCTTAGAAGCCCCAGGCCAGCCCCTAACCTCCTGGGGTCCCAGTGGAGCAGCGGACTCGCTGAGAACCCCTCCCCGACACCCCAGACTCCGCAGAAGCCCGCCCTGCACCTTTGAACCCCGGACGCCGGCACAGCCCCTGGCCCCCACACAGCGTGACTCGGGACACCCGGGCTCCCTCAGGCCCCGGCCCCGCGCACATCCCCTGGGCCGCGGCTCCCTCGCGGCCCGGCCGCGCCCCTGCCAGCGCCCCGCAGCCAGCAGCGCCTCGGGGGCCCTTTCCCGCGGAGGCCGCGGCGCCCCCCGCAGCCCAGGCCTGCGCGCCCGGCGCGTACCGTTGGCGATGAGCTTGGCCGACAGCTGCTTGACTAGCTCGGGGATCCGCTCCCACTGGCACTCGGAGCGGCAGCGCTCGATCTCCGTCTCCAGCCGCGAGCCCGCCTTCTTGGTCGCCATCGCGGCCTGGCCGGGCCCGGCCGCCCGCCCCGCAGGCCCCGCAGGCCCCGCCGCCGCCGCCGCGGCGCCCCCTCGCAGCCTCCCGCCGCCGCCGCGGGCTCGGGCTCCGGCTCCCGGCTCCGCGGCGTAACGGGAGCGCCGGCTGGGGAAGGGGCGGGGAGGCGGGCGGCGGCGGCGGCGGGCGCGGCGGGGCCCCGGGCGCCGCGAGGAGCGGCCCCTGCCGGCCAGGGCCGGAGCCGCAGCACTGGCCGGGGCCGGGGCCGGGGCGGAGGCGGGAGACCGAGGGCCGCAGGACGAAGGGCAGGGTGGGCAGGGAGACCAGGGGGAGGGCCTGGGGCTGTCTGGGGTGGGGTGGAGACCGAGGGGAAGTGGGGGTGGGTGTGGGGAGCAGAGTGGGGGAAGAGATGTGACTAAGGGCAGGCGAGGGGTCTGGTGGGGTAAAGGTCTGGGCAGGATGAAGGCAGGGGAAAGGATCAGGAGGGAGCTAGCCTGGGAACGGGTGGGATCCCCAGGAGTAGGGCCAAGCAAGGGCAGTGACCCTGGGGAAGGTCACTGCCCCGGGGAACCAGTGAGCCTGGTGTGAGGGGTGCAGTGGGGTGGGCCGAGCTTGTCCTGCCATCTCAGGTGGCCAGCGGTTCCCTGGGGCCCAGCTGGCCTGTGACCCTTAGCAGGTGCCCCTCTGCCCCGCAGCCCTAGCCCCTACCCAGCCAGAGATGGGCAGAGGCACCTCCATCTCAGGCAAGGCACAGCACCTGCCGGGGTGCCCTAGATGGCTAAGTGGAGACAGGCAGGGGCTGCCTTGGCTCAGACACCAGCTCCCCGGGTACCCTGAGGGGAGGGCACAGTCACCAGTGGGGCCTCCTATCTTGACCACCTAGCCTGAGAGTGGCCAGCTGGCCAGCTGTGTTCTTTCAGTGAATCACCTGTCTAGTGATCGCCTACTGTGTTCTGGGTGCTGCTTTCGGTGCCAAAGATAGATTGTGAACTAAAAAGACAAAATTACTGCCTTGAGGCAACTTACATTCCATTTGGGGGGAAAATAAGCAATATAAAGTAGTAAACTCTAGTTTATGGGAAAAAGGGCTATTTGAAGAAACAGAGAAGGATCCAGTGAGGAACATAAAGGGTTGGGACAGGCAGGTGGCTCATGCCCGTAATCCCAGCTACTTGGGAGGCTGAGGCAGGAGGATTGCTTGAACTCAGAAGGTGGAGGCTGCAGTGAGCAGTGGATGCACCATTGCACTCCAGCTTGAGCAAGTGTTGCAGTGTTGCCATTTAAAATGGGGTGATCAGGGATGGCTTAACGGAGGTGGCACTGGACTTGAAGGAGGTGAGAGGGAGCCAAGAGGATGTCTCTGGCGGAGGTACACCCCAGGCAGAGAATACCACAAGTGTGAAGGCACCCGGGTTAGAGCACACTGGGTGAGATGGAGAAATGGCAGAGGCCAGAGGGGCTGGGGTGAGAGAGAGGGGTTGAGGCAGGAGATGAGCTAGAGGCGGGCGTGGGGTGGGCATGGGAGTTCTTTTTTCTTTTTTCAGATGGAGTCTCACCCTGTCACCCAGGCTGGAGTGCAGTGGTGTGATCTCGGCTCACTGCAACCTCGGCCTTCCGGGTTCCAGCGATTCTCCCGCCTCAGCCTCCCAAGTAGCCGGGACTACAGGCACACGCCACCATGCCCAGCTAATTTTTGTATTTTTAGTACAGATGGGGTTTCACCACATTGGCCAGGCTGGTCTCAAACTCCTGACCTCGTGATCCGCCCACCTCAGCCTCCCGAAGTACTGGGATTACAGATGTGAGCCACCGTGCCCGGCAGAGTGTGGGAGGTCTGTGTAGTGCCTGCTGGGCCATTATAAGATTTTGGCTTTTATGCTGGTGGCGTGGAGCAGCCACACAGGGCTTTTCACAGAAGAGGGGCATGATCGGGCCTACACTTTAGGACTATCACTGTGGCTGCGGTGTTGAGAACAATTTCAGAGAAATGGCTGTGGCGGCAGTAGTATTAGATTCTGGGTCCTGCATTTGAGAGTGAAGCCGTCAGTGTGGAAGGGTCTGTAGCCCGCCCGCAGTCAGAGGAGCCACTGAGCATCAGCATCATCCCTTCTGGGTGCCCCTTACTCCAACTTTCCAAAAGCAGTCACACGCAGGTTCTCATCCCCACCACAGCCCTCAGTTTATGGAGAACACACATTGTGGACCTCAGTTTACCATTGTGGAGGCTGAAACACAGACATTTCAGCGAGGTGAGGAGGGAAGATCAGGAGACGTTTCCTGACGTGGCCAGTATCACTTTCAGGCACCTCAGGGACTGCCGAGGTGATGGAAGTTGAGCTGACAGGCCCTAGGCCCTGTGGCCAGTCCAGGGAAAGGGGAATTCCAATGTTCGAGTTTCAACAGGGGACACTTTAGTGCCCTGGCCCTTAGCTTCTACCAAGATGAACGGGAAGGGAAGAAGAAGAACTCTCCAGAGCCAACATTTCCTCTCTCTTGACACCCTCCTGTTCTCCCAACTCCAGTCTGTCCAGATTTGCTGGGAATATTCTCTGTCTGGTCCGGGAGACAGATTCCTGGGCTTTCAGATGCAGGCCAAGGGTCATGGAGAAGTCTTGCTCAGCATCTGACAACCCTGTGTCACGGCACTTGCTGTGTCCCTCTGGGAAGGGGCAGGGTCTTTCTCATGACTAACTCATACCCTGCCTCAGTCACCACCCTGGAAGGTGAGTGACTAGGGCCGTCTGTCTGCCTCCCTAGCTGATGAGGTGTCTTCATGAGGGGAGGTGCTGCCTGGGCCACGGCATTTAACCTCCCCAGGCCTCGGTTTCTCGGCTGTGATACCTCCCGCCTGGAGGTGGTTGAGGAGGAAATGAGGAGATCCAGGTAGGGCACGCCAGTGTGCCGACGGAGTGCCATGGCAGCTGGCAGTCTGTGTCTCTCTGCCTCTTGCAGCCCATATAGGGCCTGGCACAGTGTGGGAACTTGAACAAGGCTGGAGTCCCCAAGGTCTAGAGCCAGCCTGGAGTGCTTTTCCTTAGGATGTAACACCCCAATGATGAATCCATGTCACTATACTCCAGGTTTCCACCTTCCCACCCTGCAGGGGTCCAATGCCAGAATATTCTTCAGACCATGTGCTTGGGTGCAGAGGTTGCTGGGAATGGGGCGTGGGAGCAGAAGCTGCCAAACATGGTCCACCTGAAGCAGGAGAGAGAAGGAACCCTCCGAGCCTTCGCCATGGGAGCCTGAGAGCTGGGTCCTGGGGCCTCTGGCTCCTTCCTGCCTCTCGCTGCCATATTCTGCCCTCATCCATGGCTGCCATGGCAATCCTAGAGAGGCACAAGTGATCCTCTGAGGACAAAGTCCCTGGATAGTTCTCCAGGTGTGTTTACCTGCAGGCAGCACTCAGGTAAACTCACGAGTGAGAAGCCATTCATGCTCATAATAGTAATTAAGCCAGTATCTTTTCCACTAGGCATTCGGGCAGTACAAGTTAGACAAGGATGTGAAAAATCACAGCCTATAGGCCCAGCCCCGCCGTTGGGCCTGGGGTGCCTGGCAGGAAAGAAGTGGAGGACAGCTGGAAAGGGAGTCTGACTTCTGGCCAGGTCCTTAAGAACAGCTGGGGTGCCAGGAGCAGTGGAGACAGGCGGTAGACTCCTTCCAAAGGCCAGTGCGAATAGGGGCTTGTGTAGTCTGCAAACCTCCCAGTTCTCAACTCCAAAAGTCTAGAGCCCCTGCATAATCAGAATAAGGGAAGAGGTGAGCAGCGGGGAGTGGGGGCGAGGGAAGAGAGAGACAGAGAGGAGGAGAAGAAAAAGGAAGAGGGGAGGAGAGAGGAGGGAGAATGAAACAGGGATTGTGGCCAGGGTAGGGAGGAGGGAACTTGGGGGAAGGAGACACTGGTGGGAGGAGGGGTTAGAACTTTGCCCTTTCTCCTCCCTGGCCTGGAAGACTCTTCCCCAGAAAGCCATGTGGCCCCTCCCTGCCTGCCTTCTGAAGGGAGGGGGGGAGGTCACATTCTCACAGAGACCTTCCCTGACCACCCTGTCCACACTGGCTCGCCTTCATTCCCTTATCCCTTTACCCTGCTGTAGTTTACTTCTTGCCCCACCTGATCTGTGGTTATTAACTGAGCGTGTATTATCTGCCTACCCTCAGTAGAACAAAAGCCCCAGGAGGGCAGGGATTTGTGTGGTTTTGTTCACGACCGCATTCCTAGCAGTGCACAGCGAGTACTCAGTCAATACTGGTCAAATGAACGAATGGGTTGAAGGAAGGTGGAGGGCTGGGTGGGCAGGTGAGCATCCCAGTGGACAGCACATTCCCAGTGGTCAGGGAAGTGGGGATCCACTGACTGAAGCTGATGGGCAGGTTTAAGCGAGAGACAGAAACCCAGAAATGGGGATCCACAGGGGCCTCAGTGTACCACCTCTAACCTTTGACCTCACCTTGCTGGGGCAACAGCCCTGTCCTCTCGCTGCCAGAGCCAGGGACAGGCCTTGGAGCCCCGGGAGGCGTGAGCCATCAGCAGCTGGTGCTGTGGGCGGTCGCCGGGAACCTGGAAACCACGCTTGCAGGCCCTGGGTGTGAGTCATGATAGCTGCCTTTGGCTGGCTTTTAATTATGTAATATTTTATACAAACAAAAATACCCCGATTCAAGAGGCACCTACATAATGAAATAAGAATAATAAGATGAACACCAGTGAAACTATTGGCTATCCCAGAGCGAACTACATGTTGATTTTGGGGTTCTTATACCCTTGCTTTCTGCCACTTCTTATAAAGTGGGTACAACATGTAACCCTGTGCACCAGAGGTCTCCAGCCTTTTAGGCACCAGGGTCCAGTTTCATGGAAGACGGTTTTTCCATGGCGAGGGGAAGGTGGGGGGATGGTTTTGAGATGATTCAAGCACATTACATTCATTGCACACTTTATTATTATGGCATTGTAATGTATAATGAAAGAATTCTACAGTTCACCATAATATAAAAGCAGTGGGAGACCCGAGCTTGTTTTCCTACAACTAGACGGCCCCATCTGGGGGTGATGGGAGATGGGCATTAGATTCTCATGGGGAGTGCGCAACCTGGATCCCTCACTGGCCCAGTTCACAATAGGGTCTGCGCTCCTGTGAGCATGGAATGCTGCAGCTGACCTGAC